CATTGGCTAGAGGGGGCCGCCCATCCATTCACTGTATGGACTGACCACAAGAACTTAGCCTACATTCAGGGAGCCAAGAGGCTCAACTCGCGCCGCGCCAGGCCAGGTGGGTGTTGTTCTTCACCAGGTTCCAGTTCACCATCTCATACCGTCCGGGGTCGAAGAACACCAAGCCTGACGCGCTCTTCTGACAGTTCGACCCCGTGGACCTGATGGAGAGGGACGACTCTATTGTTCCCAATGCCCTGATTGCTGCCCCAGTTTCGTGGGGAATTGATAGGCTGGTCAGAGAAGCGCTACGGCGGGAGCCCGATCCGGGCGGAGGTCCATTGGGGAGGATGTACATACCCAAGGCTGCGCGCTCGAGACTGCTTCAGTGGGCGCACACGTCCGACCTCACCAGCCATCCGGGGAGCGCCAGGACGTTGGAGTTCCTGCGTAGGAGGTTCTGGTGGCCATCTGCTGCGGGGGATATGCGCGCCTTCGTGGCTGCTTGCCCGGTGTGCGCGCGCACGAAGCGCTCACGTCAGCCCGCTGCAGGGCTGCTCTGACCCCTGCTTATCCCCAAGCGCCCCTGGTCCCACATCTCGATGGATTTTATTTCCGCCCTACCCCCACTCTGATGGATACGTCATCCTGGACGTTGTGGACCGGTTCTCTAAGGCTGCCCACTTCATTCCCCTTTCCAAACTCCCGTCGACCCAGGAGAAGGCTAAGTTGGTGGTGCAGCACGTTTTCCGGGTCCACGGCCTTACCCAAGATGTGGTGTCGGATCGGGGCCCTCAGTTCACCTCCAGGTTCTGGAAGGCGTTCGCCACCTGCCTCTGCGCCTCCGTCAACTTGTCTTCCGGCTTCCATCCCCAGTCGAACGGGCAGACGGAGCGCGTCAACCAGGATCTGGAGGGGGTGCTGAGGTGCTACACCTCCAGCAACCCAGCTACGTGGAGTCAGCAAATGGCATGGGCGGAGTACGCCCACAACACTCTTCTCTGCCTGTCCCCCTTCCAGTGCCAATACAGGTACCAACAACACCATTCCCCGAGCAAGAGGAGGTGGTGGCGGTCCCGTCGGTCCAGGGCCACATTAGTCGCTGTCGCCACACCTGGAGGCAGTTACGGGCGGTGCTTATGCAGGCCTCGGTCAGGTCTCAACATCAGGCCAACCACAGGCGTCGCCCTGCCCCGGTCTTTCGTCAAAATACGAAATACTAACTATGACTGAAAACAACAATGAAACAGGGAGAACACTTCTCAAGTGCCTGTACTTCCGTCTCATGATCGGACACTGAGTAGTACTGCTGGACATAGAGAAACTAGCAGAGAAAACTGAGCAAGGAAACACAGGGAAGTGAGGGCATAAATAGGAATGATTAGTCCCGACTGTGAGTGAGGAGGTGCCTTAGGTTGTCGGAGGATGACACCTAGTGGGTCACTCCGGAACTGCGACCCTCTCCAGTAACAGAACAGTGTAGCTTTTCATCTGATAACCATCTGTTTCCACCTCCCTATGTATTCTTCCCATGCTTGCTATGCCATATCAGTCACAGCTGTCTCAGATGTTATAATATTAAGTGTTGACTTCTGATACATGCACTGATAAGTGTCTTAGAACCAAAGCTAACTGCTGTGTTTGTGTTACGGTGATTTGGACTGAACTTCCCAGACAGTTTGGATGATGTCGCAAGGGGAAAATGAAATAAGATGGCAGAAGGGGAGAAAAGTAAATAGTAAAGGGGAGAAAATTGTGGGATGTAGGTGGAATGTTGAGGGAATAACATTTTTAAAGAATAACCTAGGGGATTCAGAGGGAATAAAATATTAAAATGGACAACCACCACCTGTTCATGTCATTGGCTCATTGCTTTCTTCTATAAATATTATCATTTAGTTTGATGCCAATTTTCACGTTTATTTGCCATAGGCTTCCAATGGCTATTCTGCTGCAGCTCCTCATCCTTCTGCTGTTTCTTCTGGCTCTTTCTGAGCTGAGCCATCATGGTGTCCTGGTCGCTCTTGAGGACTTTGATGGCATTGCCCATCAGAGTCACCTTCTCTCTGAGGAGAACCACATTCTGAGACTCGGTGGGCTGCCTCTTAACAAGATGTATGGAAGGAGATGACCTTAAAGAAAGAAACTTTAGAACCAAATATTGTTACATACAATTGCACACCGATGATGAAGCTCAGAGCTTATGAAATTGATAAATAGTAATTAATTCTACATCAAATTAAATTACATGAAAAATTAAGCTCCTACTGACAGTAAGGAGTTGTACTCTCCATGGACCAGGCAAACACTCTCCTTGGACCAGGTTGTCCTGTATGTGGACAACCTGGTGAGGCAAAATAAAACAATCAATATACAGTTGAAGTCGGAAGTTTACATACACTAAAGTTGGAGTCATTAAAACTTGTTTTTTCAACCACTCCACAAATTTCTTGTTAACAAACTATAGTTTTGGCAAGTCGGTTAGGACATCTACTTTGTGCATGGCACAAGTAATTTTTCCAACAATTGTTTACAGACAGATTATTTCACTTATAATTCACTGTATCACAATTCCAGTGGGTCAGAAGTTTACATACACTAAGTTGACTGTGCCTTTAAACAGCTTGGAAATTCCAGAAAATGAGGTCAAGGCTTTAGAAGCTTCTGATAGGCTAATTGACATCATTTGAGTCAATTGGAGGTGTACCTGTGGATGTACCTTCAAACTCAGTGCCTATTTGCTTGACATCATGGGAAAATCAAAAGAAATCAGCCAAGACCTCAGAAAATTGTAGACCTCCACAAGTCTGGTTCATCCTTGGGAGGAATTTCCAAACGCCTGAAGGTACCACGTTCATCTGTACAAACAATAGTACGGAAGTATAAACACCATGGGACCACGCAGCCGTCATACCGCTCAGGAAGGAGATGCGTTCTGTCTCCTAGAGATGAACGTACTTTGGTGCGAAAAGTGCAAATCAATTACAGAACAACAGCAAAGGACCTTGTGAAGATGCTGGAGGAAACAGGTACAAAAGTATCTATATCCACAGTAAAACTAGTCCTATATCGACATAACCTGAAAGGCCGCTCAGCAAGGAAGAAGCCACTGCTCCAAAACCGCCATAAAAAAGCCACACTACGGTTTGCACATGGAGACAAAGATCTTACTTTTTGGAGAAATGTTCTCTGGTCTGGTGAAACAAAAATAGAACTGTTTGGCCATAATGACCATCGTTATTTTTGGAGGAAAAAGGTGGGCTTGCAAGCCGAAGAACACCATTCTAACCGTGAAGCATGGGGGTGGCAGCATCATGCTTTGCTGCAGGAGGGACTGGTGCACTTCACAAAATAGATGGCATCATGAGGAAGGACAATTATGTGGATATATTGAAGCAACATCTCAAGACATCAAATCAAATCAAATTTTATTTGTCACATACACGTGTTTAGCAGATGTTATAGCAGGTGTAGCGAAATGCTTGTGCTTCTAGCTCCGAAGTTAAAGCTTGGTCGCAAATGGGTCTTCCAAATGGACAATGACCCCAAGCATACTTCCAAAGTTGTGGCAAAATGGCTTAAGGACAACAAAGTCAAGGTATTGGAGTGGCCATCACAAATCCATGACCTTAATCCTATAGAAAATGTGTGGGCAGTACTGAAAAAGCGTGTGCGAGCAAGGATACCTACAAACCTGACTCAGTTACACCAGCTCTGTCAGGAGGAATGGGCCACAATTCACCCAACTTATTGTGGGAAGCTTGTGGAAGGCAACCTGAAACATTTGACCCAAGTTTAAAGGCAATGCTACCAAATACTAATTGAGTGGATGTAAACTTCTGACCCACTTGGAATGTGATGAAAGAAATAAAAGCTGAAATAAATCATTCTCTCTACTATTATTCTGACATTTCACATTCTCAAAATAAAGTGGTGATCCTAACTGACCTAAGACAGGGCATTTTTACAAGGATTAAATGTCAGGAATTGTGAAAAACTGAATTTAAATGTATTTGGCTAAGGTGTATGTAAACTTCAGACTTCAACTGTATAGCCTAAATAATTTACTTTACAATTTATTAGACAGATTGTTTGATTTAACTTACTTATTCAAAAGATGAAATGGCAAATAATTCACACATTTCACAGTTAGTTATACTTTTTGATCAGCTGTATTCAGGGCCGGCCCTAGCTAACAGGGATGTAAACAAATGTGTGCACAAAATTTAAGCTAAATAAGGTTTTTGTGCGTATGGAACATTTCTGGGATCTTTTATGTTTCAGCTCATGAAAGATGGTACCAACACATGTTGCTTTTATATTTTTGTTCAGTATATGTTAGCAACATGGTCCTGTTCCATGACATATCCAATACTTCAACAAGTCTGGCAGAATTCTGTGTCTAATTTACACTACAGGTCTTTACCATTTTATGGCCATTGGTTGTGACTGTGACCAACTTTAGGGCAGTGGTGGCTGGTAGGAGGAGCTATATGAGGACGGGCTCATTGTAATGGCTGGAATGGAATAAATGGAACAGTGTCAAACATGTGGTCTCCATATGTTTGATGTGTTTGATACCTTTCCATTTTTATCACAATCCAGCCATTACAATGAGCCCGACCTCCTATAGCGCCTTCGTTTACGGTAAACCAGAGCTTTATATTCCCAAGGCTCTCTCTGGGGTACAGGCTATAGGCCAGGGTTCTTCAATTCCGGTCCTGGAGGGCCGAAACACCTCTGTTTTTCATCCTCTCCTTCTAATCAGGGGCTAATTCAGACCTGGGACACCAGGTGAGTGCAATTAACTACCAGGTAGAAATGAAAAACAGAAGTGTTTCGGCCCTCCAGGACCGGAATTGAAGAACCCTGCTATAGGCAATACACCTGCCTCTCCTTCTAATCAAGAAAATGAAGAACAAAACGGGCACTTTTTAGATGGTCCCTTATTTGGGAATTCCGTCTGCGTGGTAACACCCGAGCCTACTGCGCCTGCGCTACCACGGAAATGCGGAAGATGACTTGTCACTGTTGTTGTGGAAGCTGTCAGGCACGTGAGCTGTGCTACGTCGTCGTAAGTGATAACAGGCGATATGTCGGCTGATACTCCTCCCAAGGTACTGAAAATGCACAACTTATGGAATATCTTTGCGTCAGCTTTTTCGTATTTATATGTATCTATCACTAAATGTGAATATAACTGTGGATGAAGTAGAGTCCGTTGATACAGACGCTTGATCTGCACCACTGTGTTGGTGGTTTCCATCAGATGTTTTTCTTGCTAACTAGCTAGCTAGCTAGTTGGCGTTAGCTAGTTTACCACCCACAGTGCCACGAAAGCATATTAATATATCTCGGTAGTTTAATTGTATGACCCCGTCTGTGTTGTACTATCAGTTTCTAGTTGCAAGTTGTAAAAAACAACCATAAATCGGCCGAGTGACTGCTCAGTTAATATCTTACTAACGTTACCTAACTAGCTCATTGCTGGTCAATGGCACTAACTAACTAGTTAGCTTGCTAGCTAACGTTAGCTAACCTGGTTGGCTAGTTGCTTCAGTTATGGATTCCCTAACTAGCCATCTAGCTACCCTCCCACTAAAATGACTGGTTTTTGACATTGCCCTCAGAAGTACATCTATTACCTCACTGTTCTTTAATAGACAGCTACCTCACTGTCACGTGAGAGCCTAACAAACCAATCAACGCAAATGTCAATAATTATGTTTCAGTGAACATCCGTCTCGTGTCACAAGTCTCGTTGTTGTTGGCCAGTGCACTTGGATGTAACGTTGCTATACTGCTAGAGAGTGGTGGAAAAAGTACCTAATTGTCATACTTGAGTAAAAGTAAAGATACCTTAATAGAAAATGACTCAAGTAATACTGAGTCACTCAGTAAACTACTACTTGAGTAAAAGTCTAAAAGTATTTGGTTTTAAATATACTTAAGCATCAAAAGTAAAAGTGTAAATCATTTTAAATTCCTTATATTAAGCAAACCAGGCACCAGCATTTTTTTTTTTTAATTTACAGGTAGCCAGGGTCACACTCAACACTCAACATTATTTACAAATATAAACTGTGTGGTTCGAGCCCTGAATGCTGATTGGCTGAAAGCCGTGGTATATCTGACCGTATACCACCAGTATGACAAAACATGTATTTTTACTGCTCTAATTACTTTGGTAACCAGTTTATTATAGCAATAAGGCACCTCGGGTGTGTGTGGTATATGGCCAATATACCATGGCTAAGGGCTGTATCCAGGCACTCCGCGTTGCGTCGTGCTAAGAACAGCCCTTAGCCATGGTATATTGGCCATATACCACACCTCCTCAGGCCTTATTGCTTAAACAAAGCATGTGTGTTTAGTGAGTCCGCCAGATCAGAGGCAGTAGGGATGACCAGGGATGTTCTCTTGATAAATGCGTGAATTGAACCATTTTCCTGTCCTTCTAAGCAACGAGTACTTTTGGGTGTCAGGGAAAATGTATGGAGTAAAAAGTACATTATTTTCTTTAGGATGTAGTGAAGTAAAAGTTGTCAAATTTCAACAGTAAAGTAAAGTACAGATACCCCCAAAAACTACTTAAGAAGTACTTTACACCACTGCCAACTATTGGTGGCTAATATTTTTAGTAATAGTGAATATTTTTACTAACAGAATGTCAATGGTAGGCTTTTAAGGCTATATAAAAACACTTAACTAGCTAAGTTGTGTTGGAATAATGTCACCTATTCATATTCCTGCTGTATTGTCTTTTTCTTCAGGTGTTATTTGAAAATGAAGGTGTTTTCATTCACTCAAACACTGAAGACAGTGAAGAGCAAGATCTGCTTGTTTCTGGGTTCCTACGGATTATTGATAAGGTATCAGTTGTTGATTGTGTTTATACATTTAATTGCTGGTTGCATGAATGCTTATTGTGTTTTTAATGATTACCAGGATGGTGAAATCATCGTGGAATACAAACCCTTGGAGGACACTGTTGATCCATCCAACATGCTCTGTGCTGGCAAGGTTTGACATTTCTTTTTTAATGTTTTACTCACTAAAATGCTACTCAGTTGTTCAGCAGCAGTGTACGTTGACCACCATGTAAATTGGATGGAAAACCGGTAATGCATTTCAGATCACAAGTATTAAGGGTATTATCTTAAAGACCTTTAAAGAAGATTTGTGTGTATTTGTCAAAATTGTCAACAATGGCTGATAGGGTTAGGCTTCACAAACAGCCGCCTTTGAAGAACCATTCCATGAACGTTCTTTACGATTCAGCAAATTCCAGAATTCCAACAGTTAACAACACCTTTCACACATCTGTTTTAAGATTCTAGAATTTGAATGATAATGAAAGGTAAAGACTTGAATCATGTTATTTACGAGGTGAATCCATTCCATTCCCCCAGGATTCCAGCTCTGTGATGGAGTGGGCCCAGTGTCCCGGGGAGGAGAGGTCACCTCCTCAGCAGGCTGTGGTGGAGCAGAGCTACGAGACCGAGTGGGACATGATCAACGCAGTCTCCTTTCCCAAGAGGAAACCCTGCTCCAACGGAGAGGGTGGGTGGACAATTGGGTGCATTTGTTGTAGGCGGGCTGAGATTTCACTTAAATACCAATGGAATGCCTCCTACATGTAACATGAGCTTTGTTGCTGAGGCTGGGTTCAGACGTGTTCACTCGACACACAAGTTCAATTACAGCAGAAGTTGACTAAGTTGTGTGAAGTGGGATTGATATGTTATTAAATAGTTATAATAATTTTGGGGGTGTTTATATTTGTCCTCTTACACACTATAAGGATATCATGGAAATGCATTTCTTGTATAGCCCTTCTCCTCCTGATATATATGAAAGAATGAGAATCTCTTGCCAAGGTTTGGGCTTTCCTTTCTCAATCTCCACTATGGTTTATTAAGGACTGAACGTAGTTTGAATTGCATGTTGACTCAACAGATGAGGTCAGAATGAAACTGTGGATTAATTCCTTTGCTTTCTTCCAGGTGTATTGAAACACACGCATGAGAAAAGCAAGTGGTCCTTCACCTTCAGTGTGTGGGACCTGAGGTCTATCACAGTGAAGGAGGAGGGCTGGTCCCGCCTGGTGTTCAGACTGAAGGAGCCCCCCACCTCACTACCGTCCCTCCACTTCCACCAGGGGGGTAGTGAAGACTTCCTGCACTGCCTGAGGAGATACACCGTTATCACAGAGTGAGTCTTTCAGCCTGGTCTGGTCTGTATGGTCCAACTGGTTCTGAAATGGAAATAGTGGTTTGACGATTGATCAATCAGTCAAATTGATTCATCAGCCGTTGTCACAGTGTTCTATAGTAGACAACAGAGAGCCAGCAGGAGCAGACGTGGTCAGGAAAAAGTCGCTAGCAAGAAGAGACCTAGAGAGGAACAAGGATCAGACGTTGATATATTCTGATTCCATCTGATACCATGGTTATTGCAGGAGTACAGTTTTGTTTCTAAGTGGAATCATGAATGCTAAATGACCTCTGACAATGTTATGTAGGCCAGGGAATGTGACTGTAGTGGACACTGTGTGGTAAATCACCAGCAGAGGGAGCTTCTGAGCCCATTTGAATCACAGGTTGATTTTGTTCTTTATTACTACGGTATGTTCTTCCAAAGGACAGTGAATGGTGCACATGAGTGACAGTGTGGACAATTACTCAAAATAAAGACACTGTATGAGTGTGTATGTTTACAATCAGTCTAAGAAAACAGTAGTTACACAGTAGCATTACAATCTTATTTGTGGGGGATAAATGCCAAAATTACCTCTTGTAGCAATGCCCACCATTAGACCAGGGGTTAATTGGTAGGTAGAATTCCTTAAGCTACCGGTCTTCTTCCTCTATTTGGCTCAGACAATAATGTTTTTTTATTTTATAAGCTGAAACACTGCTGGACTTCTCATGGTGTTTTTTTATCTATATGCTAATGCTAGTGATTTGCATAAGGTGTATGGCAAACACTTAGTTTCCCTCTCCCGGTCCCATCTTCTGTCTGACTTACTGACTGATGTTGGGGTTAGCGGGCAGTTTCTCCTCATGAAAGAGTCTGGTTTTCTGTTTGAGGCAAATATCACAACAGATAATTCCCCCTATATAGAGGCACTGTGCTCCTCTATCGCAGATAGCTGTTATTAAAGTTCTTATCATGGCTGTTCATAATGAAATTGTTTGGATTAAGTGCCAGCCGGCCATTTTCAGCCAGGCGTCTGGTTAGAACAGAAACAGGCGATGAATGACATCACGCCCTGTACCATGCCTTGTCTCACATTGTATGTCTTATTTTGGGGTGATTAACCCTTTATTCATTGGCGTGAATTTGAATAATATTGAGGCTCCCATGGGCTTTGCATGACAAAGAAATCACTCATCAATCACTCAAATTTTTTAGGTATAGGGTATATATTGTGTTGTTCTGTCCCTCCCCTCATATACAACGCCTTTATCTGAAACGGAGCTCACTTGATAGGGATGGATCTCTAGTTATAGGCTGATGAGAATGAATAAATTATCTATTTCCTCATATGTTTTTAGGGCCCCAGATGATGAAACCTGCCTGCTGGTCAGCACTCCCAACAGAGCTCTCTCTCAGTCCTTCGAGAACCTTCTGGACGACAACAACTACGGCCTTGTTACTGTAAGGGGCTGCTATGTGTCGTGCATATACCTGTTATACGAATGGCACTTACCTGTATGGAAAATAAATTACTGTAGCAAAACGTTTTGCACCGAATGTTGTTTTTGTTGTTATTAGATAATTTCAGGTAGTACATCTCTGTTTCGGTGAGTTATTGCATAATTATTTTGACCCTGTTTCCCCAACAGAAGCTGAAGAAGGATCCCTACGTGACGACCCTGGGCGGCTTCTCCAAGGTCACCAACTACATCTTCGATGCGTTCCGCGGCCCCGAGCTGGAGCAGCAGCAGCGGCCCCCGGAGGAGGTAGCTGACCTGGACATCCTGGGACTGGGAGAGGTCATCCCTGGCCTGGAGTTCAACCAGCAAGAGGAGCCTGGCTTCGAGGTTATCACCAGGGTGAGTAGTAAAGTAAAACTATGGGAGCATTCAACAGTTTGGGCTATCTAAGCCTACAGTATCTTTATTTCATGACTTGTCTTGTACCTGCACGTTGCTGTATGTGCGTACACTACATCTGAAGTGATTAGTGAGAAGAGGCCTCCCTGGTCTGACTACGGCTTTAGCTTCCGAGGCAAGCCAGCAGCTAGATGCAGGGTGTAATGATAACGGCTGCTGGCACAATAGGTGTCTGTTGTCTTCAGCTTGGGTTTGTCTTTTAACGTGGTTACAGTGCAGAAGATTGCATTGTCTTATTGGTTGGCGTTCTGTTCTGTCTGTCTCAGATGGACCTGGGAGCCAGGCCAGAGGTAACAAGGAGGGAGGCACTGTCTGCAGAGGACTGGGCTAAGCATCAGGACCAGGAAGGAAGGGTGAAAAATGTCCCTCACCTCAAGAAAATCATATTCAAAGGCGTACGTTCAGTTTTTAGGGGATTTGTAAAATGACCTGAATGATGAAGCACCTTCTCTAGTATATCTCCGGCCAAACTCTCTGGGACAGTTTCCCAGACACAGATTAAGCCTAGTATGGGACTAAAAGGCACTTTAAATTGAGAATCTCTATTGAACATGCTGTTTAGTCCAGGGCTTAATGTGTGTCCGCAAAGCTGGCCTTCCGTATACATTGGTGTGTGGTAACTAACTGTCAATGACCATTCTGGGTATGTCTGTAAAGTCATTCCTGTCAATGTTGTGTTGATCCTGCAGGGCTTGTGCCATGCGGTGAGGAAAGAGGCCTGGAAGTTTCTGCTGGGGTATTACTCCTGGGACAGCACCTACGACGAGAGGAAAGGCCAACAGAGGAGGAAAACGTATGTGTGCTTTACCAAGACCGACACTATATATGAAACATACATGTTTTTATTATAAGACAGGAATAGCCAAGTGCAGATTATGAGCCGTTTCATTACCATCAAAGTGGCTGTTCTTACAATGAAGGTCATAAGGTCTTTGTTGACATTATCCTTTGTTAACCAGCAGAGCCATATGCAAGTGTGAAATATCAGCAAATTAAAATGTAATTCTGAAGATATTCTCTTCCCTCTTTTTCTTCTTCTCCCTGGTGAAAAAGGGATGAGTACTTCAGGATGAAGCTCCAGTGGAAGTCGGTGAGTGAGGAGCAGGAAAGGAGGAACTCCAGGTTGAGAGACTACAGGAGCCTGATAGGTAAAATATTGATACTCCATCTACCCTGCTGGCTTAGGAAAGTTGTTGTTGATGATTCATTTATTGGCATTTTGTCTGTTTCATCACTTATTGCATTGTTTTTACTGTTAAGTGTGTTGTGATTTTAAATGCAGATACATTTTGTTCAGTCTATTTGTAAGTCGCTCTGGATAAGAGCGTCTGCTAAATGACGTAAATGTAAATGTTCAGGGATGCATCTGTAATGACTGCATTAGCATGGTGTACCTTTCCTGAACTAGGCGTAGTACGGTTGTTTATTTATTGTCTGTGAATGTGTTGTCTTCTCAGAGAAGGATGTGAACAGAACAGACAGAACCAACAGGTTCTATGAAGGCATAGACAACCCAGGCTTGGTGTTACTTCATGACATCTTGATGACTTACTGCATGTATGATTTCGATCTGGGTAAGTTATAGCATTATTGCCAAGACGTGCAGCAGAGATCATAATTTATATGTGAATGAAAAGGTAATCTGATTGGCATAGATGCAATCGATGTCCCTTATTGATAATTAAGAAATTATTGTAATTCACCCGTGGTAACAGCAATCATGAGCTGATAACAACTGCATATCAGTGCGATTTGTTACGTTCACCTTAATTAACGTTGTGGGAATGTTTCCTTGTACTTGTCTCCAGGGTATGTTCAGGGAATGAGTGACCTCCTCTCCCCGATCCTCTATGTGATGGAGAACGAGGTGGATGCCTTCTGGTGTTTTGTCTCCTTCATGGATCAAATGGTAAGTAATCAGATTAGCTTTGTTTTGTCTGCTGCTGTTAGTTTGGTTTAGTTTCGTCAATGTGAACTTTGATATGCCTGAGTGTGACCGTTTCATCACTCAACAATAACGTGTGTGTGTGTGTGTGTGCGCGCAGCACCAGAACTTTGAGGAGCAGATGCAAGGCATGAAGACTCAGCTGATCCAGCTCAGCACTCTGTTGAGGCTGCTTGACCTGGCCTTCTGGAACTACCTCGGTACGTAACACACCTCAAACATTCACCTTTATATGACCAACTTACAAAAGTATTATATACGTCTTTTATATCTTTATATTTTACATGAAGCCATAAAGATTGAGGCAAATCCTGAAAAGAAAACTAAACAAATATGCAGATTATCAACCAATACAGCAGTCTTTTATAGTTTTAATTGAGTTAAAAACAACAACATATATATTTTTTAAGAAAGTAGTGACTGACTACCATCCTTGGTTCCGTCTGATTTCTCCTCTGTGTTTTATTTGGTTCCTCCAGAGTCACAGGATTCAGGTTACCTGTATTTCTGTTTCCGGTGGTTACTGATCCGCTTCAAGAGGGAGCTCAGTTATCCAGATGTCCTTCGTCTGTGGGAGGTGAGTGCTGTTCATCCATCGACCTCTGACCGATCAGCGTAAGTGTCTCCCTTGTCATTTAGGGGGAAGTCAATCTGTCAGTCTCTTATGAGATTTGTTTCATTATTACTTTTCTTTTTGACTTCATGGTTTATCTTTATGCATTCTGATGGATCTTGTTAATAAAGACTTCCTGGTTCTGTTCAGGTCATGTGGACTGGCTTGCCCTGCCAAAACTTCCATCTGGTGGTGTGCTGTGCCATTCTAGACTCAGAGAAACGGAAAATCATGGAGGAAAACTACGGCTTCAATGAGATCCTCAAGGTAACAGCTGTTTTGCAGATTGACTGGTTTGACAGTTGACAATAAGAAATCTGACACATTTTCAAGGTGGGTTGTTTGGAGTGTTTTCCAAGTTATTTAGTTTTAAATGTCATTGTTTTGTATGTTATCACAGCACATCAATGAACTATCAATGAAATTGGACATTGAAGAAATCCTTCACAAATCAGAGGCTATTTGTATGCAGATCAGAAGTTGTAAGGTACAGTATGTTCAAGGATTGCTATTTATTTATACTTTCAATTAAAAGCCAATAAGATAAAAACTATGCAGATTCATAATTACATATTGGTTGTATATAATCTATATTTTCTTTACTTTCAGGATTTGCCTCATTCAATAAGTGAGATCCTGGGATTCAACACAGAAAGCGAATTTCCCAGATTAGAAGGGAGGGAGTTTGGGACTCCTCTTGATTCCCCTCAGTCCCCCATACCCACACAGAGACAGGAGGTCTTCTCGAATGGTCACAACAGACATTACAGAGAACCCCCTACTCACAACGGCTGCAAAGTTGCCTTCATATCATAGTGAACAATGTCATTCACACAAACAGACTTTGCAATGTCCACATACCAGAAAGAGTATTTTGGATTCAGTTATTGGATAAGTTGGTAACTGAAGCCAGCTTATCAAGTACCTATAAGAAGAAATCTGAAGAGAAAATAATGTAAAAATGATTTTAAATGATTCAAATTGTATTATTTTTGTAATTTCTTGTACCATATTGTCTTTCATTGAAATGGTAAGTCATTCCTTCTCCTTGCTAAGGAGTTTTTGTAAAGACAGGCAAGGTGAGTTTGCATTGTAAAGTAATAATGTGCTGTTTTTTATTTCAGCTATAACCTTTTCCTGAGTCATGCACACAAGTATTCAAATCTAGTCCTGGGAATTCAATGTTGATTGATTCAAATTTGAAAAGTTAAGGAAAGGCCTACAGAGTTAAGATTTGTCTGAATATTAATTTGGTAGTAAATGACAAAAGGGCTGTACAATATGTGTTGTCTTGACGCTCTGTTATAAAAAAAAATATGAAGAACAAAATAACAACTCAACCAATATGTCCTTGTTACTCAGCTTTCCCAGTGAATTAAAATAAAAGTATAGCCTTTGATTGTGTACTCAAACTCCAGTACTAATGCATTTATTTAGGTCCATAAGATTGTATCTTTTCCTAGTGAGGAAAGATTTAATTTTAACTAATTTCATATGTATCTGGTAGTGTATTGATAAACCCTTTCTGAGTAGAAGTGCTGGTCTAGGATCTGGTCCCACCGCTGAGACACTTTAAGAATACACACACAATAATACTATTTGAGCAAGGTTGGGTCCGGTCCACCCACATCACTCGTATGTAACATTTTCCTGTAAGACATCCTTTGACCATATTTGGCAGAAACTAAACCTGATTTTGGGCTCCAAAATATCAATTATATTACAATTGTGTTGACTGTTTATACCATAATTTCTTAATAGTATATTTTGCTTGTTTTCCAACATATTGAATTGTGGACTGTGTATCTGGCCCAGGAAGAAAACAGTAGTGAGTTCTTCAGAACTCATTGAGTTGTGGCCTATTACTTAAGGCAATAAAACCAATCCTTTAAGATTTATTTGAACTTATCCTGTTGAATATGTGACTGATCCTAGCCAAATGACTAAGAAGACTATGTATTTCTACTGTTTTCGTTATGGTCTAAATTTAAACAAGTTGAGAGACTATTTTTAGTGATTTGGCTACACATTTGTCATTTCATCGTTTGATAATGCACTTGAACTTGGATTAAGAATAAATCTCTATCTTCCCTTTTGGAGTTACTTGAAAATGAATAGTTCAGTTAGATGAATGTACGGTAGTGTTTGCACTGATAACAGATCAGTTTTCTATACCCTATTTACAAGAACTGTTTCCTGTCACTTCCAGGCATTGTCCTAATTCACATGGGGATATAGCTGTTGTGTTCTTGGTGTGTTGCAAGAAAACCTGTTGGATAATTTTTTGCACTTTTCCATAATAACAGCAACCTGCATTAGCCGTTGTCTCCAATATTTACATGGTATAAGCCCCTTTTTATTCAAATGACTTCATCCAGTCATTCAGGAAGTTGTGCAGAAATGTCACACTGTGAGTCAGAGACATTTTTCAGTCATTTCACTGCTGCTCGAAGTATCAATCTATACCCACGTCTTCACCCTGAATCCCCCATAATTCCACTTAAAATGCAGGCCATGCACAGCTTCCAAGTGGCATTTCGCCCCTTTCAAGTCTGTGATGGATGTCAGGACGTGACGTTCTTCAGCCTTGGTGACAGTTCACAGCGATGCCTGGGTCTTTGATGGAAGACATTTAGAGATGTCTCAGACATAGAGTTAGAATGAGGGTCTCAGACTGATAGGGAGGTGGAGGTAGCCTGCCTATCACAACGATTTGCTCATAACAGGCGGTCACAATTAGAACAAAGCAGCAGCGCCTCGGCTCCCATCTCCCAACGCTCTTTCATTTCCTGTCCCACAGGAAATTGCCTCAGTCAGCCGATAGCGTATTGCCCACAGCTATGATTTATTTATCTGTCTTCTCCCTGGGTTTTCATTAAAGGAGAGGCTCAGGCTGCTTTGTGTTGACTGACAGGTGCTTGCTCACCTACCTGTAAACAGTGGGGTTGATAGTAACTGAACGGGCAGAAAGAGTCCGAGTATTCAGAATGCACAGCACAATTTGTTGGGTAGCCAAACACACCCAGTCTCATCAGTTTCGGTGTGATGATATATAATATTAGTTAATCCAGTTGTCACCATGTATGAATAGATACCATGTAAATTGTATATGCAGATGAGAATTGTATCCATTACATTCACTGTCCATGATTGTTTCCATGATTGTCCTTTCCAGTGGTATGCTGGAAGACCACACCTTCTTGGATGGAGACAACGGATGTTAAACAGTATCTGAAGTACTCTATTCCCTTTTTCCTTTGATCAAATGCCAATCATGGTTTTGTAGATCAGGTTTAAAGTACAGTAGGCCAATACCAGAGGAGGCTGGTAGGAGGAGCTATAGGAGGACGGCCTCATTGTAATGGCTGCAATGGAAAACATGAAACAGTATCAAACATATGGAAGCCACATGTTTGACTCTGTTCCATGTATTCTATCCCTGCCATAACAATGAGCCTGTCCTCCTATAGCGCCTCCCACCAGCCTCCTCTGGCCAATACAATTATGATATCTAATCTGATATGTCACTTAAATAGAGGATTCCTATGTATGGTTTGGCTCCTCTCTCTGGTGTGAATGAGTGTATTTTGAGAGTCCCTCAATTCTGTTACCATGTTTGACTGGTGGATTTGCATTCAGAAAGGTGGATTAACACAATGAACCCCACAGGCTGCATTTATACTGGCAGCCCAATTCTAATATTTTTTTCCTCACTAATTTTTATTTTGCCTAATCACATCAGACATTTTTCAGAGCTGATCTGATTGGTCAGATTAATGGGTTCACTATAAAATGTATTCCTAATGTATTCCCATGGAGTTTCCTGCCTTTCCAAATCAAGGGAAGAGATGGCTCTTCACACACACACACACACACACACCCCTGCCTGGTCTACAGCAGAGGGAGGGGATGCCTTACCCCCTCTACCTCCATCACACTATATAAAGGCGCTTCAGTGGTGCTGGCTGGCAGAAGACAAGCCTAGTGTAGCTCAGTGGAGGAGGCAGTAGTAGTAGATATTGTAGAGAGTAAGTAATAGTAGTTATATTAGACACCAAACAGGAGCTCTGGATCCAGAACATCCTCTCCAGTGTATTGGAAGGTAATGCGTGACTCTCCATTATAAAGTTTAGTAGAAATCAAATATGAAAAACATACTGTGACGTTTGGGTCTACAAAGAGACTGTCATCAACCTTCTTCGACTTGAACTTGACCAGAACATTCTCTCCATGCAGGCAGCCCATGGTGATGGCGTCGTCCCAGATGAGGAAGCGGGGCGGCGGCCCGGAGAAGAGGGGTGGCCCAGAGCCGGTGCCAAGAATGCAGCCTGCCATGATGATGTTCTCCAGTAAGTACTGGTCCCGGCGGGGACTCTCTCTGGACTCGGCCATGTTCGACCAGCATAAACAGCACCATACCGGGGGACAGATGGTGAGTGAAGGGCTGCATGGAATGAGATCTAGTGTCCTCTGCAATGGATAGGTTGGTTGGTTGACTGATTGGTTGATTAATTCATTCAAACTGTCTGCGTACATGGATGGCTTGAAGAATGGGTTGATTGATTGATTGATTGGTTGAGCTTTGAGGCTCTCCTGATAACTGCATAAACTGGATGTTCCATTTAGTGCACACCGTTGTATTTCTTTCGACTGGACTGTAAATTGCTATGTACTTTCTTTTCTGAGTGAAGCACACTTATTCCGTTTTCTAGGCTACCATATCTTAGTGTCCATCACTCAAAACCAGGGGGAGGAAATCCTCTTACTCATTACATGTTCTTATGGCTAGCTAGCTCATCTCTCTGGTTATGTCAAAGATAAAGAGGCGAATTAGTAGAACTGATGGTTTGAGGCATTGGGTGAGACTATTGATTGAAATACTAAGGTTAGTTTTTTTGTGGCCTACATTTGGGAAAGAGGGAAAATAGTTTGGTAATCAACATTCTTTCTTTGTGTATCAGTCACTTATCAGTATCATATTTGTATGTGCTGTGTTGACTCGTTTATTGTGTATTAATAATTGTGTTAACAGTTGGACATGTGTTGGTGTAGCGGAGGTGGTTCAGTAGCTAATGCCTAACTCAGGTTCAAACCTGATCAGTCACATTGGGTTACATCTGGTAATCTGTATTGACATGTCTGTGTCGCTTTCTGTTCCCCGCCCGACAGTCGCGCCGGCCCTCCTTCTGTCCGATAGATGAGAACCCGACCGACAAAGAGATCAGGGAGAGCAGGGAGTCAGGGAAGACGGCTGTTGTTTTCTCTCTGAAGAACGAGGTGGGCTGCCTGGTCAAAGCCCTACGCCTTTTTCAGGTGAGTATCTACTGTCCTGCTCCACCCCAACGGCATTCTCTCCTCTCCTCATTGTCTATTCTCTGCTCTTCCAGGAGAAGCATGTGAACCTGGCTCACATTGAGTCGCGGATGTCCAAGCGCATCGCTACAGAGGTGGAGATCTACGCTGACTGCAGCTGCAGCAAGAAGGAGTTTAACGAGCTGCTGGAGCACCTCAAAGACCACGTCAACATCATCTCCTTCAACACACCCCAAAACCAGTGGTCTACAGAAGCAGGTATGGCCCAGGAGTTTTGTTGTAGGCTTTCAGTTTGATAGTTTTTCAGGACATAAGCCACAGCTTATTTTGTTCTCAGTTCAACATTCACATATGTATGGGCATATGTGGAATACTGAGTGACTTACAGTAAGAACATGAAGACATTTGGCTTTTGTTCATGGTGAATGTACTCATCTTATCCATATCATCTTATGTTCTGTTTGTTGTCTCATCTTTAGGAGTATAAATGTATCTGAATGGACGTCTGTGAGTACTGAGTGACTTTTAACCAGACAAAATGTGCTTTTGTTGACCATTTTGACATTTTTTCTTTGTAGAATTTAGTGCTAGTGAAACTATTTTGACATTTTATTGAATAAGAGTTCATCAATGACTACTTGCTATATGTGACATTCTCAGTGTGGGTAGTGCTTCAGTTGTGTGTTTGTAATGCTTTATCCTGTGTATATATGATGTGTTTGCAATGCTTCATCCTGTGTATATATGATGTGTTTGCATCCTTAGATGGGGAGGGAGTTCCTTGGTTCCCTCAGAAGATCGCAGAGCTCGACCAGTGTTCTCACAGAGTGCTGATGTACGGATCAGAGCTTGATGCAGATCACCCAGTAAGTTAGTGTTTGCTGCTTGGCCAGGTCATCATCGCAAAATGAGAATTGTCTCTCAACTGACTGACCAAACATATTAAATAAAGCTTAGATACATAGTGTTTGAATATATACTGACTATACAAAACATTAAGAACACCTGCTCTTTCCATGACGTAGACTGACCAGGCAAATCCAGGTAAAAGCCTTGATCCCATATTGATGTTACTTGTTAAATCCACTTCAATCAGTGTAGTTGAAGGGGAGGAGACAGGTTAAAGAAGGATTTTGAAGCCTTGAGAAATCAAGACATGGATTGTGTGTGTGCCATTCAGAGGGTGAATGGGCAAGACAAAAGATTTAAGTGCCTTTGAACGGGGTATGATAGTAGGTGTGTGTCAAGAACTGCAACACTGCTGAGTTTTTCACGCTCAACAGATTCCCATGTGTATCAAGAATGGTCCACCACCCAAAGGACATCCAGCCAACTTGACACAACTGTGGGAAGCAGTGGCGTTAACATGGGCCAAGATCCCTGTGGAACGCTTTTGACACCTTGTAGAGTCCATGCCCCGACAAATTGAGGCTGTTCTGAGGGGGACGGTGCAACTCAATATAAGGAAGGTGTTCCTAATGTTTGGTATACTCAGTGTACAACTAATGATTATAATTATATGGTTATATATAAATAACTTTTATATTTGGGCTGCAATACTCTCAAGGAAATCCCAGGAACTACAGTATATCACCACTGTTGGCTGGTTGACATGACAGAGAACTCTGTGTGATCCTGTTCCTTATCTAACCTCCGGTCCCCTGCTCTAACCCCAGGGCTTCAAAGATAACGTATACCGCCAGAGGAGGAAGTACTTCGTGGAAATGGCCATGAATTACAAATAGTATGAGTAGTCTCTTCTCTTCCTGTTGCTTTACTGTGGTAACACTCTGGAAACCTGTTATTTTCTTACACTAATACTGTTATACTGTAATTGCAATGTTATTACTATGTTAGTACACTATTTAGTTGGTATTACAATGTAAATACAGATAAGTAACAAATAACAGCTCAGTGTGCATATGATGTAATAAAATAGTGTAATATAAGTGTGGTTATATCCTTATCTGCGTCCATCCCCATCCCCCAGTGGCCAGCCTATCCCCCACACTGAGTACACCCCAGAGGAGGTGAGGACCTGGGGCGTGGTGTACAGGGAGCTCACCAAGCTCTACCCCTCACACGCCTGCAGAGAGTACCTGAAGAACCTCCCCCTGCTCACGAAGCATTGTGGGTATCGGGAGGACAACATCCCCCAACTCGAGGACGTGTCCCTGTTCTTGAAAGGTATAGGCTGATGAATAACTGTAGCAACCCTGATGACCGTAACAGTACATTGTTGTCACCATTATCAGTGTACCATAGAAGCATAACACATTCACTCATAAGAGCAAGACTGAATCAGCCTCAGATAGCTTGGTAACACGTTCATCCTCACTGACACTGTCAGTCTCACCTGTGTAACCTCAAGCTGACCCTAAAAACACATCTGTCATTGAAACTTCGGTCCAAAGAACTGAAAGAAGACATTTCCTTCCTTCAAAGTTCCCTAAAGACATTAGCCATAATTATCATATATTGACCCTGTTGTGTTTGTGTGACTGTTTCAGAGCGGTCTGGGTTCACAGTGAGGCCTGTGGCAGGATACCTGTCTCCTCGGGACTTCCTGGCCGGTCTGGCTTACCGGGTGTTTAACTGCACTCAATATGTCCGCCACAGCACCGACCCCCTCTACACACCTGAACCGTGAGTGTATCATCACCAGAGCTATAACATGTCTAGAGTTTCACAGGACTTGGCATCGCACTACTTGTTCAAACTGAAGTGCACAAAAACAAAGTAAAATAAACAATTGTGTGATTATTTGAGAGCGAGAGGAGACTGAGAGAGAGCGATAGAGCGAGAATGGATAACGAGAGAGATGGATAAAGATAACGAGAGAGAGAGATGGATAAAGATAACGAGAGAGAGAGAGAATGGATAACGAAAATGTTTAGTCTGTAGCATATCATTTGTTTCGATAGATAACGTTTGCATTTCACTAGGCCATATCTAATGGTATCAGAATAATATCTGATATCTGGATACAGGGACACGTGTCATGAGCTGCTGGGTCATGTTCCGCTCCTGGCCGACCCCAAGTTCGCCCAGTTCTCCCAGGAGATAGGCCTGGCATCTCTAGGGGCATCTGACGAGGACGTACAGAAACTAGCCACAGTGAGTACAACACCCTGATTATGCACCTAATGCAGGGTGATTTATTTTTTAAATATTTGTTTTAAGGTGTGATTTTGATATTGTTACTGATATTTTTTTCATAAAGGTTGACTGACTGTTTTGTTCTATGCTGTTGACAGTGTTATTTCTTCACCATTGAGTTTGGCCTGTGCAAACAAGACGGCCAGCTGAGGGCCTATGGTGCAGGCTTGCTGTCATCTATTGGAGAGCTGAAGGTAAAGCGCGCGTGCACACATACACACACACACACACACACACACACACAGAGAGAGAGACACAGACACCTCAGTGACAGGCTGATTATTTCCTCGCAGCATGCCCTGTCTGACAAAGCCTCAGTGAAGATGTTTGACCCTGGGACCACCTGCTACCAGGAGTGCCTCATCACAACTTTCCAGGAGGTCTACTTCGTCTCTGACAGCTTTGAAGAGGCCAAAGAGAAGATGAGGTAACACTAAGGGCAACCCAATGGCTTACTGGATAACAGGGGCAGTACCACTCCTCTCATAATTATTTGTTGGAAACCCATTCTGCAGCGGTATATGTGTTCTGGAGGCAGCGACTTAGGCCAGACCACCCTTAGGACATGAAGGTTGTGTGTTTGATTCCCACATGGGCCACATATGAGTATAAGGAATCTGGAATAAAGTTATTAAAATTGCTCCTAAAAACTGCATGCTCTGGTTTAGTAGGTTACATGCTGCCAAGACAGGAGTCCACTGGTTTAGTAGGCTACATGCTGCCAAGACAGGAGTCCACTGGTTTAGTAGGCTACATGCTGCCAAGACAGGAGTCCACTGGTTTAGTAGGTTACATGCTGCCAAGACAGGAGTCCACTGGTTTAGTAGGTTACATGCTGCCAAGACAGGAGTCCACTGGTTTAGTAGGCTACATGCTGCCAAGACAGGAGTCCACTGGTTTAGTAGGTTACATGCTGACAAGACAGGAGTCAACTGGTTTAGTAGGCTGCATGCTGACAAGACAGGAGTCCACTGGTTTAGTAGGCTACATGCTGACAAGACAGGAGTCAACTGGTTTAGTAGGTTACATGCTGCCAAGACAGGAGTCCACTGGAGTAACTCTTCTTTGCAGTCAGGTATATTCCTTCTACCAACAGGGAGTTTGCTAAGACGATCAAGAGGCCATTCTCAGTGTACTACAACCCCTACACCCAGAGCATAGACCTGCTGAAGGACACAAGGAGCATCGAGAACGTGGTGCAGGACCTTCGCAGTGACCTCACCACCGTGTGTGATGCCCTGGGCAAGATGAACACATACCTGGGAATATAGCAGTTGCGTATCTTGGGCATGTACTTATCTTGAATATATAATGTTGCTTATCTTGTTGAATATAACATCTTTGTGGAAATGAAACAGACTTGACCTGTACAGCTCACAGATATCTCTTAAAATTAAAATAAATAAAATAGTAAATGTTATGCTTAAAACATAAATTAAATGGTTGAAGTGAAATGAAAAAGAAATCAGATTTATTTTCCACTTAGAGCTTATTGTATAGAGCAGGGGTATTCAACTCTTACCCTACGAGGTCCAGAGCCTGCTGGTTTTCTGTTATACCTGATAATGAATTGCACCCACCTGGTGTCCCAGGTCTAAATCAGTCCCTGATTAGAGGGAAACAATGAAAAAATGCAGTGGAACTGGCTTCCAGGTCCAGAGTTGAGTTTGAGGGGGATAGAAATAATACATTAAATACTATGATATGGATATGTTATGCTTGAAATATATAGTATTTGAAATTGTTGGGGGGAATTCAGATATATTTTTGACTTATTCTGTACAGTGCATCAAATGTGAAGAATAAAACAGGATATTCATGAGCCTAGCATTGTTATGCAGTCAAAATGTGTCGCAAATATGTAAATTGTAACTTGGCTGCCATTTGCTTTGAAATAAAGAAATGTCACCAAAATGTAATTCAAATACAGTACAAACCTTAGGAAAAGAGAATAATTGTTCAAATATTTGGCCTTTAATGTATGTTGTTGTCAGTATATGTGTACATGTTATGCTTTGACTGGAATTGTTTATTCTCTCTCTCTGAGGTAACTGATTTGATGTTCCGATTGTGAATCTGTGTGCTTTTGCTTTCATGTATTGTTCTACTATACTGTTTTCACTGCACATTGCAAAGGTATAGTCTTCATTCACACCTTTACAAAGAGGAAGACCAATTATATTCTAAATAAATGACTATAGAATGACAAAATAAATATTTAATTCCTTCATGGGAATCAATTAATTTGTTCTTTATCACAGTAACACCACTGGAATATTTTTATTTTACCTTTATTTAACAAGGCAAGTCAGTTAAGAACAAATTCTTATTTACAATGACTGCCTACACCGACCAAACCCGGACGACGCTGGGCCAATTGTGCGCCGCCCTATGGGACTCCCAATCACGGCCGGTTGTGATACAGCCTGGAATCGAACCAGGAGGTCTGTAGTGATGCCTCAAGCACTGAGATGTAGTGCCTTAGACCACTGCGCCAACATATCCCACAAAAAACGGCAGAGGATCTTACACAATTTCCTAAACTAACTATCTAATGATGATTATTGTTGTTACTTTCATCACATACTGGCTGCAGAAATGTATTAACCATTTGAATAATATTTCACATACAACCATTAAGGCAACTGCACAGTTTATTCATAAATCACAGGTTCAATGTCATTTTAGCGGTTGAGATTTAAACCCAAACATCAAGAAAGCTATACATTCACTATAGGCCCTAATATTCAGACTTGAGATAAGATGATTTAACATGGACTTAAGTCATTTAAAAAAACTTAAGTCCATGTTTTATGGACTTAAGTCCCATGCTAAATCTGTTTATTTCAAGTCTAAATCGGGCCTAATGTTCAGTATCTAACACAGTACATAACTTTTGGAATGTATTAGAAGGATCTCTTTAACATGAACAAAATGTAGTCTGTTTCACTAAGAAACATAGTCTTATTAATGTAAGCACAGTAAGTGAATCCACAGCTTTTAGGAGCAAATTAAACATTTAATTGAATATTCAGCAAAATCTTCATAAAAATTTAAATTGATTTCCATGGATGGTTGAAGCAGTTGAAATGCCTGGCAGGTCTAATCACTGTCAAACACATTATTCTGGAAGGAAGACAAGACAATTACAGAATGTAGAAAACAACAATTTTTTCCCCGCTCATTTTTCTCTCTTTACTCTCATTTAGGAATATCAGCCATTTTAAGCTGCTATTCCCCTTACCCTCTCCTGACAGACGACCCTGCCCTGGTTCTGCAGTACTCACCCAGCCCCCATGCCTCTTCACCCAGGCCGTGTGGTGCTCCTGGATGTAGCGTGTCCCAAAGCCCATGGCCCGGCTCATGGGGTGGAGGTCCAGAGCAGACAGCCTGCTAGTCACCTCGCAGGCCAGGGCAATCTGCTCCCTCTGGACCCTCTCCTCCTTCTCAGGGGCAGGGTAGCCTACCCGGGCTACAGGATCATCACCCCCTACCCCTGTCACCATCTGGAGCAGGGTGGAGGTCACCTTCTCAAACAGACTGTAAGTGAAGGAAGTCTGGAGGTGCCTCTGCAAGATGGGGTTTCTATTGATCTGATATGGTGGAGGGTGGATGAAAGGAGGGGGAGGGAGGGTGAAAGGAGGTGGAGGGAGGGTGAAAGGAGGGGGAGGGAGGGTGGAGGGAGGGTGGAAAGGAGGTGGAGGGAGGGTGAAAGGAGAGGGAGGGAGGGTGGAGGGAGGGTGAAAGGAGGTGGAGGGAGGGTGAAAGGAGAGGGAGGGAGGGTGAAAGGAGGGGAGGGAGGGAGGGTGGCAGAGGGTGAGGTCAGCAAGGGTTTGGGTAGAGGGAGTTGAGAGGAAGGGAGACATTTGATGACATAATTGTGAAAGGACAGAGCCTTATACAGTATATATGCATTCGTAACATATAGAGTACTGTATTCTGTTATTTAGAGTCAATGGATGTTTGACTATGGAACAAAGTCATCTTGTGGTGATAAATGGGTAGTCCAACTGCATTTGAAACCCTTCCCCTCTCTCTCCATGAAAAAAACCCACACACAAGTAAGTTCATGCACGCACACACACACCTCCTCATTCAGCTTGTCTCCAGACGCCTTCAGCAACTCCACTAGTCTTCGGATGACATCTGCAGGGAGACAAAACCAATCAGTTCAACTTCATGCAAATCGTCGGGTTACCCTACTATATCATGTAAAGTACCTTGAAAGCTACAACTGTAAGAAAAAGCACTTAAAGGTGCTACACAGTTTCTTCCCCATGTGGAAGCTAGGTGAATTGCAACAGCACTAGGCTGCATTCAAAACAAATCCCATTGGCCGCTTGACCTGATTTCCACTAGATCACACAGACACACAGCTTTCCCATTTTGACAACAGATGCCGCTCCGGAAGGAGAAATCAATAGGTGAATATCATAGCCAATCACAACACTGGCAGGTAAGTAATACTGTGATACACTATCATTCCACTATTACTGCAGATATATTATGGCCATTTTCTGAAATTACAATGCAAAAATTTTAGCACCTTTAACAGATGGAATCCATTTTATTATCATCAACTTTACTGTTGTGTGAAAGAGACCCACCATTTTGATCCTCTGTCCCGTCTGCCTCTATGTCGTCTGTTGTGATCTGCACAGAGTCTGCGATCTGAGTCAACCTGTCTGCTACTCCATTCAAGGTATTGTCCTCTCCTCCTGCACCTCCGGCAAGTGATTTACACACACATGCACAAACATACACACCACCCACACACACACACCCACACACACACAAATACAGTGTGTTCAGTTGCAGGGGTTACATACAGTGAGGGAAAAAAGTATTTGATCCCCTGCTGATTTTGTACGTTTGCCCACTGACAAAGAAATGATCAGTCTATAATTTTAATGGTAGGTTTATTTGAACAGTGAGAGATAGAATAACAACAAAAATCCAGAAAAACGCACGTCAAAAATGTTATAAATTGATTTGCATTTTAATGAAGGAAATAAGTATTTGACCCCCTCTCAATCAGAAAGATTTCTGGCTCCCAGGTATCTTTTATACAGGTAACGAGCTGAGATTAGGAGCACACTCTTAAAGGGAGTGCTCCTAATCTCAGCTTGTTACCTGTATAAAAGACACCTGTCCACAGAAGCAATCAATCAATCAGATTCCAAACTCTCCACCATGGCCAAGACCAAAGAGCTCTCCAAGGATGTCAGGGACAAGATTGTAGACCTACACAAGGCTGGAATGGGCTACAAGACCATCGCCAAGCAGCTTGGTGAGAAGGTGACAACAGTTGGTGCGATTATTCGCAAATGGAAGAAACACAAAAGAACTGTCAGTCTCCCTCGGCCTGGGGCTCCATGCAAGATCTCACCTCGTGGAGTTGCAATGATCATGAGAACGGTGAGGAATCAGCCCAGAACTACACGGGAGGATCTTGTCAATGATCTCAAGGCAGCTGGGACCATAGTCACCAAGAAAACTATTGGTAACACACTACGTCGTGAAGGACTGAAATCCTGCACCGCCCGAAAGGTCCCCCTGCTCAAGAAAGCACATATACAGGGCTGTCTGATGTTTGCCAATGAACATCTGAATGATTCAGAGGATAACTGATTGAAAGTGTTGTGGTCAGAGGAGAACAAAATCGAGCTCTTTGGCATCAACTCAACTCGCTGTGTTTGGAGGAGGAGGAATGCTGCCTATGACCCCAAGAACACCATCCCCACCGTTAAACATGGAGGTGGAAACATTATGCTTTGGGGGTGTTCTTCTGCTAAGGGGACAGGACAACTTCACCGCATCAAAGGGACGATGGACGGGGCCATGTACCGTCAAATCTTGGGTGAGAACCCCCTTCCCTCAGCCAGGGCATTGAAAATGGGTCGTGGATGGGTATTCCAGCATGACAATGACCCAAAACACACGGCCAAGGCAACAAAGGAGTGGCTCAAGAAGAAGCCCATTAAGGTCCTGGAGTGGCCTAGCCAGTCTCCAGACCTTAATCCCATAGAAAATCTGTGGAGGAAGCTGAAGGTTCGAGTTGCCAAACGTCAGCCTCGAAACCTTAATGACTTGGAGAAGATCTGCAAAGAGGAGTGGAACAAAATCCCTCCTGAGATATGTGCAAACCTGGTGGCCAACTACAAGAAACGTCTGACCTCTGTGATTGCCAACAAGGGTTTTGCCACCAAGTACTAACTCATGTTTTGCAGAGGGGTCAAATACTTATTTCCCTCAATAAAATGCAAATCAATTTATAAACATTTTGACATGCGTTTTTGTGGATTTTTTTGTTGTTATTCTGTCTCTCACTGTTCAAATAAACCTACCATTAAAATTATAGACTGATCATGTCTTTGTCAGTGGGCAAACGTACAAAATCAGCAGGGGATCAAATACTTTTTTCCCTCACTGTAAATGTGTCTGTTCAAAGTAGCACAATATTCTGTGATCAATCCTTATATTTGACACATAATATTACATGGTTCCGCGCCAGAGGAGGCTGGTGAGAAGAGCTATTGGAGGACGGGCTAATTGTAATGGTTGGAATGGAATCAATGGAATGGTATCAAACATATGGAAACCACATGTTTGACTCCGTTCCATCAATTCCATTCCAGTCATTACAATGAGCTTGTCCTCCTATAGCTCCTCCGACCAGCCTCCACTGTTCCGCACAGAATGTTCCAGAGCACAGAAACATACCTGTAACTGTATAGATACTAGGTGTGGATACATCCCCTGTCTTTGTTGCTCCCTTTTTCACCACCACTGTTTTCAACTTCCTCTTCACTCCCCCTGGGCCTTGTTTGAACGGAGAAGGACTTTGAAATCTGCAGTATATGGGACCGGTGTCATAAAATTTAGCATTAGGTCTGGACGGAGGAGTACCTTGTTTTTGAATGACGCCATGACGTTGAGGCATTGGGCCTGACCGCTGCCTCTTCCTCTTGCCACAGTAGGCCATGAGCAGCCGATACTCTTCGCTACGTTGGTCCACTCCGCACGTATCGACCGCGGCCCTTGCTGTTGCATGGTTCTCCATCTCACTGCCACGCAACAAGACAGCCTGGAACACAGGGATGTTTTCCAAAGACTAAAGGATCAGGATTAAATTAATAAAATAAAAAATTTAATGTAATGTTGACTTATGTTGGTCGCTAACCATTTTAAAACAATAATCTCTAGTATAAAACTGGTGCCGTCTCCCTCTTCAATCATCTTTCTGAGGGACCCACAGACAGTGCAGGGTTTTGTTCCAGCACAGCAGGCTATTAACATCTGATTCAACTAATAAAGTGGAATCAGGTGTGACATATTACTGGGCTGGAACAAAATGTTGCACAGCATGTGGGTCCCCAGGACTGAAGAACGCCAAACACTTACTTGCACTTACAGCCCTGCAGGCTGTGGTGGACAGTAGCGGTGCGTGCAAGCCAGTAAAAAATACATATTACAACCTATGTTGTGATAATTGCGTTGTTTGCTCTATAACCCATTCGTTCATACGCCACCGTGATATACAATAAGGCCGTGACGACAAAAAATTATGGAAACAGAGAGACGAAATATAAATTATTTTATTGGTCAAATATTTGGGGAAGACTGGCTTCCCTTGGCATCCATGAACACATGCCACTGGTGGTGGACAACATTTATTTAATGTTAATTATTTTTTTTGGGCCTTAGGAAGTCTTCGCTTTCTCATATTGGTTCACCATACTACCAACTTCAGGGAGTTAAGAAAGGTTTCTGTATTGTTTCACATCAAGTTAGTTTCACTTTCATAGTGAAAGTAAAATAGCGCATAGACTTTACATGTGATTGCTTATGCAAACATATACTTATTGTAGCCATACAGTGTGCCACGTAGACTAAATAATTTGCTGCTCGGTTACAGAAAGCAAACGTGGGTTACCTACTTGAGTAAATAAGGTTACGTTCACTGTAATAATGGAGTTTTCGTAGTAAAGTATTAAAATGGTTATAGCTGTGGTCTAGACTAAAATCTTGTGCATGACCCATTTTAAAATGTGAGGAGGGGCTATGTTTTTCAATCAAATGCTGTTTCCCTATGCAAGAACAATGGACAGAGCCAATATCCTTCTCAAGGACCAACAACCACGCCACAGGCCACAATCTGGTTGCTTCCCCACGAGTCTGTTCCTTTGAGAACATACACACATGCACACACACAGTCTCCATGCATACCGACACCTCTCCTACATGCCTCCACGAGTTACGCACACACACAAACGCAACTTCTATTCTACATTGGTTCCGGGTGTGCCCAAGGCAGAGGACTCTGCCGTGCACCAAAGGGGCTTCTACTCTGGACAGAGCAGACCCGCCTCCTACGCCTCGGGAACCAATCAAGGGACTAGAAGAAGGACCCCTTCCTTTGTGTTACATTGTATAAAGTAATGCTGTAAACTCTGTTTTTTATTCCTTCTCAACTGTCTCCATAAGAGGCAATTGATTGGGTCCATGCATTGGGCCCATGCATGTAGCTTGAGCAGTACCAGCTATCTCTGTGTTTAATAAACTGCCTTTTGCTTAAGCATATTCCTCTCTGTCTAGCGTCGTTGGTTTGTACTTCCTCTCCTTATGGTTTCACCAACAAGTTATAATTTTCTCTTGACAAAAGTTCCTCGTTTTCAAAGTTCGATGTGGCTGCAGGACAGCCAACACAAATAACATCGACAGCAAACCAAAATCATGCAAATGGTAGGCTAAACCGTAAACACTTACCTATAAATTATTTAACCAAATATCTGATGATGCTTTCACCTTGAAAAAAGAACCATAACTAGATTTGAGATTCATAACGGGAGGAGTCTTTCCCTCGATAGTAAAATATACTACGTTACAATCTACTTCCTCCTACACTTTTTCTGGAGAAAACGGCTCTGTACTGCCACCCGCTGGATGTGATGAACTATAGTTAATGGGCGCGTTCCTCTAGTCTGGCTAACACCGAACTCTCAAAGTCCACCTGACTTCAGAGTCTGGAATGGATCTTTGATGTGGTTTCTTCTTTTGTGTAATAATGGCGTTCACACAATTTAATGTGCATCCCGCCAACTACTGTGCAGGATGGAAACAGGAGTCTCCCCAAAAAACGGAACAAACTACCAAAAACGACCCAAAGCAAATACAATAAAAAATATACTAAATGAAACAACTTTTCTGTTAAAAATAGTTGAGATCTGATCCCTACACAGGCTCAAGGGGAGCCTGGGAGGGCGGGCCATCTTCAGATGTAAAATCCTTAACTCCCTAAAACTGTTCTGCCTCAGGCAGCCACAATAATGTCCTGTTTCTTTGACTTCTTTGAGACTGAAGACTTACAGTTTATAACTGTGGCAAAGAACACCAAAAAAAATCACAATTTTAACACACAGTGTATCTTTTGACCGGCAACAAACAATTACTACAGACTATAGTGCATCCGCTACAATATTTTTCACTACTTATTTTTATTTAACCTTTATTTAACCAGGCAAGTCAGTTAAGAACAAATTCTTATTTACAATGACTGCCTACCAAAAGGCAAAAAAGGCCTCCTGCGGTGACGGGGGCTGGGATTAAAAATAAATAAATAAAATATAGGACAAAACACACATCATGACAAGAGAGACACCACAACACTACATGAAGAGAGACACCACAACACTACATGAAGAGAGACCTAAGACAACCACATAGCATGGCAGCAACACATGACAACACAGCATGGTAGCAACACAACATGACAACAACATGGTAGCAACACAACATGGCAGCAGCACAACATGGTAGCAGCACAAAACATGGTACAAACATTATTGGGCACAGACAACAGCACAAAGGCAAGAAGGTAGAGACAACAATACATCACGCGAAGCAGCCACAACTGTCCATGATTGAGTCTTTGAATGAAGAGATGGAGATACAACTGTCCAGTTTAAGTGTTTTTTGCAACTCGTTCCAGTCACTAGCTGCCGCAAACTGAAAACAGGAGCAACCCATGGATGTGTGTGTTTTGGGGACCTTTAACAGAATGTGACTGGCAGAACAGGTGTTGTATGTGGAGGATGAGGGCTGAAGTAGGTATCTCAGATAGGGGGGAGTGAGGCCTAAGAGGGTTTTATAAATAAGCTTCAACCAGTGGGTCTTGCGACGGGTATACAAAGATGACCCGTTTACAGAGGAGTATAGAGTGCAGTGATGTGTCCTATAAGGAGCATTGGTACCAAATCTGATGGCCGAATGGTAAAGAATATCTAGCCGCTCGAGAACATCCTTACGTGCCGATCTGTCAGATGAACCGATGTGGATGTGGTGGAGGAGTCAGGCACAGGACACAGAGGCTTCGTCCAACAGACTTTACTAGTCAAAAGTGCAAAAATACAATACACGGCCTCGAAAACAAACAGAGGCGAGTGAATACGTAAACCATGCGTAAACACTAAACAAACAAACAGAGCGTCAACACGCAGCTCCGAAATACAGGCAGACAACAACACACAATCTAACCAATACAAAACAGGGAACTTATAGGACACGTAATCAGAACACAAACAGACACAGGTGTACAAGACAGACCAAAGCAATCACACCACGAAACATTCAACGGTGGCAGCTAGTACTCCGGGGACGGCGAACGCCGAAGCCTGCCCGAACCAGGAGGAGGAGCAGTCTCGGCCGAAACCGTGACACGATCTATAAATTACGTCTCCGTAATCTAGCATGGGTAGGTTGGTTATCTGAATCAGGGTTAGTTTGGCAGCTGGGGTGAAAGAGGAGCGATTACGATAGAGGAAACCAAGTCTAGATTTAACCTTAGCCTGCAGCTTCGATATTTGCTGAGAGAAGGACAGTGTACCGTCTAGCCATAATCCCAAGGATTTGTATGAGGTGACTACCTCAAGCTCTAAACCTTCCAAGGTAGTAATCACACCAGTGGGGAGAAGGGCATTCTTCTTGCCAAACCACCTGTGAGTAGGTGGGTTTATTCTCAAAGTCTTTAACCGTTTTCCAGAACTTCATGGGGTAAGACCCACAGAGAGAGAACTCCTTCTTAAAGTAATGTCGTATATGATGAATGGTGGCAATTATTGCTGTCAACAAAAAGTCCGTTATGCTGCATCGTGTCAGAAGTTTTTATTCATACCACGAGGTTACAGCATAAATTACAGACACGCGTTGCCTGGAGAACGACTCCCCAGATTGATATGGTCGTTCTGCCGTCTAATCGTTTACCCCCTATTTATAAACAATGCAAAGGGAGGGGCTACTCCCTTCTTCTGGCCAATCACCAGTCTCCCCTCGGGCGTCACCCTCCAAGCGGCACATTTCAAATAACATCATAAAACATCCCCCCTTTGGCCTGAACAACCAACATTCCATTTCGTCATGAAAAACATTTAACAAAGGCATAATCTTCAGATACGATATTCCCCGCTTTCGAGACGAAATAAACGTCTCGAAACCAAACAGAATAAGATTATGACTATTAACCATTTATCTCCTTGAGTATCTTTAACATTAAACCAAACACATTCTCCTCTAGAGTGTAAATCCCTTCTATGAAATACCTGTTTATGAAGTGTGAATACATTACTATGAATTATGAATAAATCTCTATGGAGTGTAAATACATTACTATGACATATGAACAACTGTTTATGAAGTATGAACACATTACTATGAATTATGAATAAATCTCTATGGAGTGTGAGAGCGAAAAACTGTCCAGCAGCCATCCATCCATATCAATCAAGACAGTAAAATTATCTCACGGTCCCTCTGCCCCAGGCAACCACCGTCGGTACTCCAGATAACCTCATAACTCATGTAAATGCATTTGAAACTATGATGTAACTAAATACCCATGTAAACAAAATCCTATCCATAAATATCCATTGTACAACTGGTCAACCCATCGAATCGTACAATGAATCTCTCCCTTCCTAGACCTTCTGTCCCTAACCCCATCGAAATAAACAAAAGCCTCTAAGATCCTCATCTGCATTCAATAACATCAAACATCATTCTACTAAAATCAATACCTAAGAATATGACACAATTATGTATTACACATGTCTATATTTCATTGCAGACACTGGAATGTAGTCCACTACACTTCCTCTCCATGTAGTGTCCTCTTCCAATGGACTTGTTGATGATGGAATCAGCCACACCATCCTTGTTTCATCTCCTCCAGTCATATTGTCCCTTCATATTGTCTTTGTTTGAGTATTCCAATCTCCACATGTTCTCCCACATGCTTCTGGAATGACAAGAAAATAACCGACCAAACAGTATCCTTTGCAAAACAACCACTTTCAAATTAAACCTCCATTTCACCTAAGAATTTAAAAAATGATACATAAATGATGCATAAATGATGTATGAATCACATTAACCTATCCCCCCCTTGATTCATAAATCATACTAAAATCATACTAAAAAAAAATGTTTTCCTTGAAACAATAAAAATAAAATGATCAAATAATCAAAAAGGATATTTATCCATTCAGTAGTCCATCTAGACCCCCTCGTCCGTCTTCGTCCAGATCCGGAACAGTCAACACCGGCATCTGAGTGTTGTCTCCAGGCACCACTTCTCCAACCTATCTCAATCTCATAACTTTCTCAAAAGTCAGTACAAACATCACACAGTGTTATCAAAGCTTAAACTAGAATCTGACCCATCACTGCCCCTACTGGCCTAATTGATCTTGCAACCAAATCCTTTCAAATGCATCCCTCATAATGCATCTATAACCCCAGTGATATTATCTGAACTATCTGGACTCACAGTATAACTAATATTTATCAATATTATCTTCCCAAATGTTACACCATACCATGAATGAAGTCCCCCCTTCTCCCTTAAACTTATTCTTCAATGATAGGCTTGAAGACTATGACATGTCGCCATGTGTCTGCTAAATGACTGAAATGTAAATGTAATGTCCCCCTTTTAACCCTAGATTTAGCTGTGTCCAATGCTATCCCTCTTATAATGGTAAAACCTCCTATGGAAGCTTCAACGTTGACCTGTAACAACATCCTATCCCCCATAGGGTAAGAATATAGTCCTGCTCTTCTTACTACCTGATATATAAAAAGTAACCTATTATTTGTCATTACTACCCTTAAGGTCATGCTTATCCAAATTTATCACACTGATCTTCCCATAAACATACCCCTTACCTCATATGTTTTATTAGAGCAAAAACAACTTTTATCCCTCAATATTTCACCTGAATACTTCAGAGTTTGCAATTACCTGATTTTACTTTCCCTCTAACCAATGCTCATAGGGTAATCCCTTCACCCAAGAACACTTAAACCCTACTGTTTTGACAACAACATTATTTTATCTGTCAATGACTGTTGCCAATTCCACAGTCATGACAAAGCTCAAGACTGACCCACACCCGACAGAGGCTGCGCAACCGTCTAACAGGTCCGGGATGGAATTCTCAACAGACATGGACCCTCAAGATTCCTCACTGATTCTTACAGAATGAGTTAATCTATCTCTAATTTCCACAACAGAGGAACGAGCAGCACTGATCAGATGCCCCCCCCCTCCGTCATCAAAATCAAAAGACTAAACACCTTTTAGCCTAACCTCAAATCTCTTAGTGTAAGAATGTAACCCAAAATAACAATCACCCCTTTTAAGTTTATTTTCCCAGACAGATTGTCTAACAGGTAATCTAATACATTATCATCCTTCCTATGATATTATCTTTTAAGCAAATGATTCCCAAAAAACCCTACTTCGTAAAATATTCTACCAGACAGTCAGTCGTCTAGTGTACATCTTATTGTACGCTTCAATTCTCTTCCCAACACTACAATAACAGTATCTTCTAATATTAGTAC